TTGGAAATGCCGTGTTGTCCCACGACTACAATATTTTCAGGATAAACTTCAAAAGAAAGTCCTTTCCGTGTACCGTTACCAAATTCTAAATAAAAAGCGCGAAACGACATGAATAATTGCGCCTCAAGCGGCTCGTTAATGCCATTAGCGTTATTTTTCCAACGAGCAGCGTACAGTGCGAAAATCCACGATGACACGCGCGCGGCATAACTCGGCGAAATTAACACGTGTCAAGTATGACAGCTCTCGACTGCGCGTTCGCGGAAATCACTTAGCGCGCTATTAGACGGCATAAATCTGCGTCCGCGTACACGCGCAGGTGCGCGGGACGATAATTATTCAAATCGCATCCCGTTTGCGGCGAAAATCGGGACGTTAGTTGATAATTCCGTCGCATAATAACGTCGCCGCTCGTTAAACTAATACGCGGCGCAACGCGCCGAGACGCGCGATAATTGCAGTGCTGTCACCTCGTTCACGCCGCGTCTTCGCACCTGGGGATGCGAAAATTTTCACATCGGATGGCTGTATCAGGTAATCGCGTCGTGTAACAGCTGATTTCAATTTTCATCCGTTCGCGCGACTGGGCTGCGGTCAAGCTGTCGCTTCAAATGTTTCGAAGTGTTCTTCTTCTCCTTTCTTCCAGAAAAGATAAAGGGAGAAGAGAAACACTTCGAAGCATTTATAGCGGCGGCTTGACCGCAACCCAAGTACGTGAAGAAGACTCTACACCCTCGGAAAGGATTTCTGTTACCGAGACAAAAATATTCTTGACGCATTTACATTTCTCACAACCTCATTTAGTACAAAAATGAGACAATATCAAAGTAAAATCAATAATTCTTATTCTTCTCTATCGTATTAAGGTAGTTCTTTCGTAAAATCAGTTATGTGAGAATTGTTCCAAATTTTTACCGTTTATTCTTTACATAAATACGTGCAAAATAAGACTAATTAAATTACAATTGACCGTCTCAAAGTTCTAAAAAAAATTGTTAAAGTTTACTATGTTACACGAAATATTACGTGTAAAACACGTTAAAAATATTATTACATA